AGTACAGAGAGTAACAGGCAGGGTGGTTTGGGGCAGTACAGAGAGCAACAAGCAGAGTGGTTTGGGGCAGTACAGAGAGCAACAGGCAGGGTGGTTTGGGGCAGTACAGAGAAGCAGGGTAGTTTGGGGCAGTACAGAGAGCAACAAGCAGGGTGGTTTGGGGCAGTACAGAGAGCAACAGGCGGGTGGTTTCAGGTAGTACAGAGAGCAAAGGCAGGGCGGTTTGGGGCGGCACAGCGATTAACAAGCAGGGTGGTTTGGGGCAGTACAGAGAGCAACAAGCAGGGTGGTTTGGGGCAGTACAAGGAGTAACAGGCTGGGTGGTTTGGGGCAGTAAAGGGAGCAAAGGCAGGGCGGTTTGGGGCGGCACAGCGATTAACAAGCAGGGTGGTTTGGGGCAGTACAGAGAGCAACAAGCAGGGTGGTTTGGGGCAGTACAGAGAGCAACAGGCAGGGTGGTTTGGGGCAGTACAGGGAGTAACAGGTTGGGTGGTTTGGGGCAGTACAGGGAGCAAAGGCAGGGCGGGTTGTGGCGGCACAGCGATTAACAGGCAGGGTGGTTTGGGGCAGTGCAGGGAGCAACAAGCAGGGTGGTTTGGGGCAGTACAGAGAGTAACAGGCAGGGTGGTTTGGGGCAGTACAAGGAGTAACAGGCTGGGTGGTTTGGGGCAGTACAGGGAGCAAAGGCAGGGCGGTTTGGGGCGGCACAGCGATTAACAAGCAGGGTGGTTTGGGGCAGTACAGAGAGCAACAAGCAGGGTGGTTTGGGGCAGTACTGAGAGCAACAGGCAGGGTGGTTTGGGGCAATACAGAGAGTAACAGGCAGGGTGGTTTGGGGCAGTACAGAGAGTAACAGGCAGGGTGGTTTGGGGCAGTACAGAGAGCAACAAGCAGAGTGGTTTGGGGCAGTACAGAGAGCAACAGGCAGGGTGGTTTGGGGCAGTACAGAGAAGCAGGGTAGTTTGGGGCAGTACAGAGAGCAACAAGCAGGGTGGTTTGGGGCAGTACAGAGAGCAACAGGCGGGTGGTTTCGGGTAGTACAGAGAGCAAAGGCAGGGCGGTTTGGGGCGGCACAGCGATTAACAAGCAGGGTGGTTTGGGGCAGTACAGAGAGCAACAAGCAGGGTGGTTTGGGGCAGTACAAGGAGTAACAGGCTGGGTGGTTTGGGGCAGTAAAGGGAGCAAAGGCAGGGCGGTTTGGGGCGGCACAGCGATTAACAAGCAGGGTGGTTTGGGGCAGTACAGAGAGCAACAAGCAGGGTGGTTTGGGGCAGTACAGAGAGCAACAGGCAGGGTGGTTTGGGGCAGTACAGGGAGTAACAGGTTGGGTGGTTTGGGGCAGTACAGGGAGCAAAGGCAGGGCGGGTTGTGGCGGCACAGCGATTAACAGGCAGGGTGGTTTGGGGCAGTGCAGGGAGCAACAAGCAGGGTGGTTTTGGGCAGTACAGAGAGTAACAGGCAGGGTGGTTTGGGGCAGTACAAGGAGTAACAGGCTGGGTGGTTTGGGGCAGTACAGGGAGCAAAGGCAGGGCGGTTTGGGGCGGCACAGCGATTAACAAGCAGGGTGGTTTGGGGCAGTACAGAGAGCAACAAGCAGGGTGGTTTGGGGCAGTACTGAGAGCAACAGGCAGGGTGGTTTGGGGCAATACAGAGAGTAACAGGCAGGGTGGTTTGGGGCAGTACAGAGAGTAACAGGCAGGGTGGTTTGGGGCAGTACAGAGAGCAACAAGCAGAGTGGTTTGGGGCAGTACAGAGAGCAACAGGCAGGGTGGTTTGGGGCAGTACAGAGAAGCAGGGTAGTTTGGGGCAGTACAGAGAGCAACAAGCAGGGTGGTTTGGGGCAGTACAGAGAGCAACAGGCAGGTGGTTTGGGGTAGTACAGAGAGCAACAAGCAGGGTGGTTTGGGGCAGTACAGAGAGCAACAGGCAGGGTGGTTTGGGGCAGTACAGAGAGTAACAGGCAGGTTGGTTTGGGGCAGTACAGAGAGTAACAGGCAGGGTGGTTTGGGTCAGTACAGAGAGCAACAAGCAGGGTGGTTTGGGGCAGTACAGAGAGCAACAGGCAGGGTGGTTTGGGGCAGTACAGAGAGCAACAGGCAGGGTGGTTTGGGGCAGTACAGAAGTAACAGGCAGGGTGGTTTGGGGCAGTACAGAGAGTAGCAGGCAGGGTGGTTTGGGGCAGTACAGAGAGCAACAAGCAGGGTGGTTTGGGGCAGTACAGAGAGCAACAGGCAGGGTGGTTTGGGGCAGTACAGAGAAGCAGGGTGGTTTGGGGCAGTACAGAGAGCAACAAGCAGGGTGGTTTGGGGCAGTACAGAGAGCAACAGGCAGGGTGGTTTGGGGCAGTACACAGGGTCCGCAATAAGCGGTATCACATCGCAATTTGCGACACATTCGAGGCCGACTGCGACGCAATTTTGAAAGTGCATTGCAAAACTGCTTTACCACATTTTGATCATGAAAAGTTGACACAAAGTGTACTTGCCACCAAATTTCGGTCCACAGAATTCCACAACTATCGGACATGGTAAACATCCATCATGTTTTGATTTAGTTAAGCTTAAATACTGAAAAAGAACATCAATTTTGTTCAGCTGTAAAAAGTCTGTACGTGTTTAGTTTGTAAACAAACCATTTTCGATTCAGTGACTGCTGACATGATGCTGCTCTATCGCGTACTGTTACTTGTGTACGTGTGTGTACAGTGTATGCAGTACATGTACATGTTGGTAAAGGTCACAGAATGAGCCAATGAATCCACTCATAGATAATACTTTGACCCTAGTGTCACCTCACTAATTGGACTGTTTCATTCTGATGATTAGGGGTGAGGGTCATTCATTATGAGAGTCCAGCGACTATTAGCGAGTATTTTAATGGTTTAAATACATTTGTTTTGAATTCCTAATGGGTTTATTTCATAGATGATAATTAATTCACATAGTTTAAACATTCTCATCACTATTCTTTAGATATTTGTCGGTATATCTTAAACATTTTGCCGACACAGAAAACGGGTTTACCGCTTCAAGTAAATCACTTGATACGCATGTGGGATTCGTGGGAACTAAAACGTCCAAATCCCAGCTGTGTTGTCGTTTGTGCGCTGTGTAGCATATTGATGAAAACATGGCTACTACGAAAACAACTGATGAGTCATTAAGTTCACAGCTTAACGTAAGTTACTTCTTTATTGCTTTGTAATTTGTACAGTCTGACACTGACAGGTAAATAGTAATTGCAAAGCTGAGGTTAAATTTGAGTATAACAAAACTGCTATGCAAAATTGGTAAACTGCTATGCAAATCAAAATTTGCATAGCAGTTTTGCTATACAAAAAAAAATCCTTAAGACTTACCCTGGCAGTACAGAGAGTAACAGGCAGGGTGGTTAGGGGCAGTACAGAGAGTAACAGGCAGGGTGGTTTGGGGCAATACAGCGAGCAACAGGCAGGGTGGTTAGGGGCAGTACAGAGAGTAACAGGCAGGGTGGTTTGAGGCAGTACAGAGAGTAACAGGCAGGGTGGTTTGGGGCAATACAGAGAGCGACAGGCAGGGTGGTTTGGGGCAGTACAGAGAGTAACAGGCAGGGTGGTTTGGGGCAGTACAGAGAGTAACAGGCAGAGTGGTTTGGGGCAATACAGAGAGCAACAGGCAGGGTGGTTTGGGGCAATACAGAGAGTAACAGGCAGGGTGGTTTGGGGCAATACAGAGAGCAACAGGCAGGGTGGTTTGGGGCAGTACAGAGAGTATCAGGCAGGGTGGTTTGGGGCAGTACAGAGAGAAACAAGCAGGGTGGTTTGGGGCAGTACAGAGAGCAACAGGCAGGGTGGTTTGGGGCAGTACAGAGAGTAACAGGCAGGGTGGTATGGAGCAGTACAGAGAGTAACAGGCAGGGTGGTTTGGGGCACTACAGAGAGCAACAGGCAGGGTGGTTTGGGGCAATACAGAGAGCAACAGGCAGGGTGGTTTGGGGCAGTACAGAGAGTAACAGGCAGGGTGGTTTGGGGCATTACAGAGAGAAACAAGCAGGGTGGTTTGGGGCAGTACACAGAGCAACAGGCAGGGTGGTTTGGGGCAGTACAGAGAGCAACAGGCAGGGTGGTTAGGGGCAGTACAGAGAGTAACAGGCAGGGTGGTTTGGGGCATTACAGAGAGAAACAAGCAGGGTGGTTTGGGGCAGTACACAGAGCAACAGGCAGGGTGGTTTGGGGCAGTACAGAGAGTAACAGGCAGGGTGGTTTGGGGCAATACAGAGAGCAACAGGCAGGGTGGTTTGGGGCAGTACAGAGAGTATCAGGCAGGGTGGTTTCGGGCAGTACAGAGAGAAACAAGCAGGGTGGTTTGGGGCAGTACAGAGAGCAACAGGCAGGGTGGTTTGGGGCAGTACAGAGAGTAACAGGCAGGGTGGTTTGGAGCAGTACAGAGAGTAACAGGCAGGGTGGTTTGGGGCAATACAGAGAGCAACAGGCAGGGTGGTTTGGGGCAATACAGAGAGCAACAGGCAGGGTGGTTTGGGGCAGTACAGAGAGCAACAGGCAGGGTGGTTTGGGGCAGTACAGAGAGTAACAGGTAGGGTGGTTTGGGGCAATACAGAGAGCAACAGGCAGGGTGGTTAGGGGCAGTACAGAGAGTAACAGGCAGGGTGGTTTGGGGCGATACAGAGAGCAACAGGCAGGGTGGTTTGGGGCAGTACAGAGAGTAACAGGCAGGGTGGTTTGTTCATCCCGCTAATAATGCTAACTCATGGGACTGTGATTTTCTCCACTTAAGAACACTAAAAAGAAAAAAAACAACTACAAACAATTTAAAAAGAAAATGACCAAAAAAACTAATAAAGTAAGATCAAGCAAGTGCAGTTCTTGGACTGAAAATATTCAAAGTGGTAAAAAAAATATAATATGGATATTTCAGAGGTTCTTTTTAAAAACCACTATTAAACCCACAATTCTGGATAACGTGCCAGTCTATACCTCTCTTTTTCAATTCTTCCGATGGTGACAGGAAGAGAAGCGAGTGGACAGCATCTGTTGGTTGCCCTGGCGATGACATCAAGCAACGGATGAGCAACATTAGGAAACATCCTCAGCAGATGAAAGATGCGATTCTTCACCAACAGCTGTCCAAAGAAATATTTGGGGATCACATAAATAACTACACATCAACAGAAATGTTGAGTGCAAGTAGAAATTGAAAACTTGTGTTAAAGGTAGTACAGTGGAACGCCGCTACAACAAACATCCCGGGATCCACAGAAAGTGTTTGTAATGACGATCGTTCGGTATAGTGATTTTGAATCAACAGTTCACTCTTTTGACCAATAGTGAACTGGCATTTCTCAAATACTGCGGCTACACGAGGAGTCGTCACGAAACTTTAGCAACTGGTGGTTTTCCCTTTTACTCCTTGGGGAAATAATAGCGATCTATCGCTCTCCGACATTCAAACATGATGTAACCATGGGTGGTTTGATGTTCAGGAATTAAAAGTGACCCAAATAGCATGTAATAATCCGTAGCTTTTGTACATTAAAACCGGGAGCCACGGATGATGTTCACTATAGCCGAATGTTCATTATAGCAGTGTTCCACTGTATATACAACATTTGCAAACATCAAAAAACAGAACTCCTAATTATGGTGAACTCCCTTACTTGACTGTGAGTGAATAGTCTCAAGCATCCTGTGAAATCATGGCACCTCGTGTGCTGTCATTTTCAAGAAAAGTGGAATGTTGGTAACGATTCCAATGATGGTTAGCCGAACCATCGTTAGATAAAACAGACTTTTTTCAAATACTGCCCCCAGTTTACCAAATTGAGTTAGTCCACATTTTGTTTGCAATCAGTTACACATCAGCAAACAGGTGCAAGCCAGCTAGTCTGGTTCCTTGACCTGACAATTCCCCGACGTCTACAAGTGCTATGTTTTGTCTAAAGTAGGGTCAGGGAACCAGGCTACAAGAATAGTGTTTTTTTTTCCTTGATTTTCCCCAGCATCTTTGAACTAAAAATGTAAACAGGTCAGTGTATACACTATTTGCTATAAAATACTAACCCCCAAATCCATTCATGTCTGAAAATAAGAGCAAATGTTGTATATGACCTTTAGGCCAAAAAACAAAAGTCTCCGGTTTCTGGTATGGAGCTTGCCCCAAAAGTGGTGCGGCGACGCGGCTTTTTTTTTTTTTACCTGTTTTTTTTTTTTTTTGGCTTCAAATGTCGGCTGATGACTGCAAATGGTGCCCGACTAAACTTAGTGCAAATATATGGGAGTCCAGAGAGGCCACATAAAGCTTATTCTCGATCATAACCCCATCTAAAAACACGTTAAAATTGTGCAGCAGCAGGATTCCAGTCAAACCAGTGAGTTTGGCGGTTTTGAGACATCATCTTGTATTGAAAAAAAAAACTTTTTCATTTTGCCGACGCGCATGGCTACGGCGACGCGCGCGCATACCAGAAACCGGAAACTTTTTTTTTTTGGCCTTAACGTTCATTGTGTATGTGACCTCTTCATTTAGAGCCTTATACATAAAGTACATCATTTACATGCCATATTTAAGTTTTAAAAAAGTGTGTGTGGGGGGGGGGAGGGGGGGGGGGGGGGCAAAGGAGCCTCGTCCCCTCCCCCCCCCACTTCCAATGCCTTTGATGTCTATACCTGTTCATAGTGCTCCTCAATGTTGGTTATTGACAGATCCACTTCACACAACAGTCCAATCAACAGACGGAATTTCTCAGATGTTGATGCGCATTTAACCTGGGAAGAAATAACAGAAACGATGTGGAAGGGTGTCATTTGCAGGAGTTATCCTAACATGCCCCCCCCCCAATGTTTGAAAAAAAGTTACAATTAGACAAAGAACCCCAAACCAAGCATTTAATCGGTTTTGTGAACATTATACTACGTGTAAAAAAACAAACCAACATGTTCCACTTTTGATTCTAAATAGCTCTGTTGTTTACCAATGGAATTAAACCAAAATTTCAGATCATGTAAACAAGGCAAGACAAATTATACAAAGCGAGTTTCATCAGCTTTGTGCACGAGGGTGAGATTGAATCGCCATAAGCAGAAAATACTCTCTTTCAGAATCTGCGACTTTTGACTAGGCGCCCTCAATGTCAATACAGCACTGGAGACGGTGGCGGAAGGCACGTGTTGCTGTCGCATGCTTCTGAAGAATGCAAGATCACCCCTGATGTCATTGCACGCCCCCTTGATCGTTTGGCGCAAGACACGATCGAGGAGGTGTGCAATGACATCAGGGGTGATCCTGTATTCCTTAAGAAGCTTTTAGCTGCAGCACACACCTTCTGCCATCGTCTCCAGTGCTGTATCGACATTCTGAAAGTGAGTATTTTTTTCGTATTGAGTTCAAATCTCCCCCTCTTGCACAAAGCTGATGAAACTCGCTCCATAAAATGTGATGCGTCGTTTACATCAGTGTTGTAGTCGAGGCCACAACCTCCGAGGCCGAGGCCAAGGCCGAGGCCACAACCTCCGAGGCCAAGGCCGAGGCCGAGGCCACAACCGCGAGGCCAAGGCCAAGGCCGAGGCCACCACCTCCGGGGCCAAGGCCGAGGCCAGCTATCAAAACACGTAATAAAATATAAATGACTAACAGGGGTGTGAGTGACCACTGATAAATATAGCTGAAAACTGCTGAAAAAGGTGGTAAAAAGCTGAACTTTGGAATCTCCTGTATTTTTGTACATAGCAAGTGAGGGAAAAAAAGCTAAAATCCAAACCAAAAAAGCTGAAATCAGCTTTAAAGCTGAGATTTCACACCCCTGGACTAAAACAAGGATAAGATTATGTTGGAGTTTCAACATCTTTTTAGTTGAATTCACTGAGTTTTGAAGTGCCTGGCTTACAAATTTACAGCTTGCATTGGGTTTCCTCTTGTAGGGAGTCCGGCGAATTTTATTTTTTAAAGAAAGAAATTTTAAGTTTTGTATCACTGAAAGCAAATTACACAACAAAATCAATGGCGTTTGAATCAGGCTCATAGGTGTTTGCCCTTTGGAAATACAACAATTTAAATGGCCAAATTTTGAGTTTCTAATCTGTAAGATTTACATCATTTACTTTTAGCATGTTTTATAAATCTTATTTTCAAAACCCATCAAAATGCTTAATATCATAGGAATCCCCATTAAATAAACAACAACTTGATTTTTGAATCAGGTTTTTACCACTCATAACCAAAAAGTTACGACCCCCCCCCCCCCCGACCTTCGCACTGTCCAGGCGCGCGCCGAGCAAACACCGCGATGCGACCAGACAATGCCAGACGGCCCGCCGTTACGCACGGGCAAAGCATAGTTCCAATCCCGCTCCACACAACGGGATAAGTGTCGCATTATCACTGTTAATACCGCGGTACCAGACAAAGTCTTGCAATGGCCAATCCCGCTCCAAACAACACGGCAACATGGAACATGCGTGCATGATATCACTCAGTTCATCAAAATGACCATGAATTCTCGGATCATCCGATTTGAATCCAATGGCTTCGAAGAATTTTAAGATCATGGCAAGAGGTAGGGAGTCCAGAGGTTTTTTGGCCGTATATCTGTAACCACGCAAAATTATTCAATTTCAAACCGTGCTTATACATGTAATAAGTATCAACATGGCTCTAAAATAAAAGTATACGGGTACCACGAGGAATACTGACTCCTATTATTAAAACATTCATTCAGAACTTTGCATTCATTTGGATGGCAAAACGAATTCTGAAATCGCGCTTTCCATATCGACCATTTGCGCCAAACATTACCGTGTGAGCCGGAACTTTCTTTTTAAAATCTACTTGATAAATTGTAATTGTTTTTATTATATCTTTATGAAAAAAAAAATGATACGGACTAGTACACTCGATCGTACCCAGAAAGTTCAGACTTTTACTGAAACAGTGGCCTATAAAAAGAAATGATTAAGCTTGCCGCACCTTGCCGCAATTCATTATTAAAGGTCGGCGTACAGAGGCGAAACGAGAAAATTGTGTACAACACTGCAACCAGACCAGTCTACTACCACATGTTATTGTACGCAAATGGGATTGGTTCCAGACTTATGTAGTCTGGCACGCGGTAACAGTTATAACGCTTGCAAGCACGTGGAAAGCTGAAGCGCAGGCTAGGCGAAGATGCTACGTACGTGAGTACGTTCAATGCAACCATTTCCAGTTCATTCGTGCGTACATTGTATATGCGTTCGTTTCACGGAACCCACTGCGGCAGAATCTCGAGGATTTGATACGGTAAAAAAAAAAAATTAATTAGAATAGAAAACACATCAAAATGGGCGGCCTCGAGCCGGCCTCGACCGATTCGCCGAGGCCGGAAGGCTCCGAGGCCGAGGCCAAGGCCGAGGCCTTGCACCTCCGAGGCCAAGGCCGAGGCCGAGGCCATGAAAATCGGCCTCGAGGCCGAGGCCGGCCTCGAGACCTCCAACACTGGTTTACATGATCTGAAATTTCGGTTTAACTTCATTTGTAAACAACAGAGTTATTTAGGGTCAAAAGTAGGACATGTTTTTTTGACACGAGGTTGAAACTAATTGGAATGTAAAGATTTAATTCTTACCTTGATGACATTAAGTATGTTGACGATTTCCCCAACATCATCTATACCAACGTCAAATTCTGCAAGATTTAGTAAAAAGGCAAAATTTTCAATTATGCCATCAAAGATGCACAGATTTGAAATGGGGCATTTTCATAGAATTTGTTTAAAGACGTGTTTCCCGTGCTACTTTTTTGTTTTTATTGAATTCACTTTTTGTGACATCGACGGAAAAAAATCCACCTACGTTTATAGATATTGAATGATTTCTTTCCAAAAAATTAAATTATCGGCCGTCAGACAATAACTCTGCTCTCGCAAAGCGGGTTCTTGTTCCCAAAATGAAAGCCCTTATTCAGTGAGTTGAGATGCCCAAAATCAGAATAAAATACTTTTTGTCACAAAACAAAACAATTTAGAATTGGTAAGGAGAAAAAAACCCTCTATTTATGAAGAGCATTGGATATATCACCTTTATGCAAGTTGCATCAATCACAGGACAAAACGAATACATGTTGCTGAATGCATGATGACTTGGAAGCGCAAAAGTTTTCAAATTGATGTGCATTACTCAAGAACGCGTGCTCTTTTTGCCCCATGAAATTGGCACAAATTAACAGTAAAAGTACTTAAAGTTGAACACAAGGTGTGTATATGTAAAACAAGCTTATGCAAAAATGTCACTGAAATTGGTGTTTTGGTTTCTGCAAGTAAATGTAGGTAAAGGACAAATCTGCAAAGGAGAAAAAATGCAAATATTTGTCTACCTGGGACTAGGTACATGTATTTACTCAGCTGGTTCTGTAGTTTCAGATCCATGTTACAGCCGGAGGACCGACCGCCAGCCAGATTCAAGTTGGACTGAGTTGAGTCAACATCATTTTCTGAGGAAATAAAATAATAATTTATTCACCTAGGGCTAAACCTATGAAATCCATTTACTAGGCATATTACCAAGTTGGAAATTTGATGCAGAAAATTCAATTGTACCAGTACTGTATTTGAGTGGGGTGGAACTAAGCCTTACTTGTATATCCATTCAAAAGAAATTGTTTTAGGAGAGGGCATATGAAATAATAACGCCATGGCAATAAGGTGTTTCCTGGTAATGTGCGTAATCTTATTCGCGGGGCACAAAGAACACACGTTGCTAGACGCGGGCGCACTTTGGATTGAACGCATGTTGACTTGGAAGCGCCAAAACTTTCCAATGACGATGTGTACACAGAACACGTGTAAAATTGCCCAGCGGGCAAGATGGCACATATTACCGTGAAACACTTTATCGTTATGACAGACGTAACGTGACTTTCAACTGCTATTGTTACAAAAGTGTCTGGTTCCCTGACGTAATTGACCTATCGCGGTAGAATCGCTTTAGAATGGCGTCAACGCAGTTTGTGAAATATTATCCAATTACATGATATGCAGAGGGATGCGGAACGCGCAAAATCTGAGACAATAATACTTAGTGTACACAAATTCTGTAGGGTTGTGAAGAGGCTTGGCTAACTTGCAAACAGCGATAGGTCAATACAGTATTCAATGTCACGATCTTTGGCTGTTGGAATCAACAAAATGGTTCTATGACTTTATTTCCCTATTTCAACAAATCCTCCAATTTTCAAAAAAGAAAATGAAATCTACTTAAATAAAAATTTGATTAAAACCTGCTCTATACATTTTTTTTTTCAAATTCCATAAAGATAGTATTTGAAAATTGCATTACAGCTGTCGTAACAATGGCCACTACGATTTTACAAAGTTAGCTAAATGGAGATTAATAAAAGGTTTGACTTCTGCTTACGCTTCTGAGGCTAAACCGCCTCAGAGTCTGTGGTCACCAACTGCACCAGGATACAACTGTGGCATTTCAGAATTGGCTGTTTTTTGCACTGGTTTTGAAGGCTCAGTGCACCAATGTCCCACAGATGTTTGCACCTGATGCACTGTGTTGCATCTGACAGGGTTAGGGTTCACAAGGGGATAAAAGTTCTACGCAAATCAAATAAACTCGGTGATGAAGTTTAGTTCTACTGACATATCAGGAGGTACAGTAGAAATCTACTGCCTGGAAGCTGTGGTGACTGGGTATAAATGAGACAAAATAGGCTGCTGTTTTACCATTTGAGCCAAGAAACATTCGGATGCCAGCTTCCTGAAGACAGGGATGAGGTCGACAAATGTGGATGTGCCGTCACAGAGGGGCGGGGGTAAGGATTGACGATACTGATGGCCTAGCGTCAGCAGGTGATGGGCGATGTACATGCAGTTGTTGTGGTGGAGTGCGCACTCCAGAGGTAGCTTTTGCTGTTTCACAAGAAAAATTTTGCAAAAATAATAAAGAAGTTAAGATTTCTGTAAAGAATTTTTAAGACAATATCAACATTACTTTGGTTGTTGTTTTCATCCTTGCTTTAACCTGTTCACGCTGGGATTATTTTGACAAGAACGGAACGAGACGCGGGATATATTTTCACTCGACCTCAAGCCAGGCCGGTTGAAGCCATCACCCTCGGGCAGCACACTCATATTTCAAGCCTTGCTCGCTGCGAGTGGGTCGCTGACAGATATTTCCAGACTCTCTCCCTGCGTGTTTATCTGTCATCGGTTCGGAGTACCCAAAACTTTTGCGTGTATACACGGCCTCTGGCGCAAACTGGTTAAAGCAGGCATGCAATTTTTCCTTGGATCCACTGATTTCCTCGTTATTTACTTCTCATGAATAATTATAATTATAATAATAATAATGCCATTACAAATTGAAAAACACTGAACAAAGTCATGTGTGGTTTGGAATTTCTTCGTTTTTTTCAAAATTCCCAGTTGCATGCCTGTTAAAGGTACATGGAAACATTTGCTTCTGTGCATTTTTTTTTTATTTGGCTCAACAAGCAGATGACAGTGAAATACCAGATGACTGTTCGAAAAAGTCTAGAAGTTGACTCACCAGACTATCTCTGTGGTATGTGGGTACGACATCGCAAAATATCTCAAACATGTTTCGCACTGTGTAGAACAGTTGGATGGCACTGCAAACATAAAAATAAGACATTTTCAGGAATCCTTTAGTTGAATATTGTGCACATTGACCTATAAAATGTTCAACACATTTCAATTTGCATGGAAAAAAGGCACTTTTGCTTTTTCACATGATATGGGACAAATTCCAACACAGGGGAGTGTGGCAAAGTGGTTTGGGTTCGTGACTCTTGATCAGAGGCTCAGAGGTTTGAATCCAGCTGCTGGCCATATGCTGTGTCCTTGGGCAAGCCACTTTACCCCCACTTGCCTCTCTCCACCCAGGATGTAAATGGGTACTAGAATCAGCTGGGGAGTAACCTGCGATGGGCTAGCATCCCATCCAGGGGGAGTAGAAATATTGAATCATTTCATACCAAGGAAACCATAAATAACGGCTGGCCCGATGGGCCATATTGGCTCACGACAGACTTTACTTTACTTTGGTGAGAATAGCATAAACACATCACATCAGGCAGTTGGCATGGGTGGCGCAGTGCGTAAAGCACTTGCCTCTCACTGCTGTGGCCTGGGTTGATTCCCGGATCGGGTAATATGCGAGTAGAGTTGTTAATTAATTAATTCTCTCCTGTGCCACGAGGGTCATACGATGGCTGCTTGAGGCGCTTGTACATAACATGCCTTCGGCTCAACCACGTTGTAGCCGTGTCCTTTACAATTCAGCTTCTGCTGCGAGTAAGGATGATTAGCCCCCCAAATTAATCTATGTCCAACTCACCATTGTGGTGTGTTACTAGCAGCTTCTTGTAATGTCTGGTAGGCTAGATTAACAAGACACTCTATGCTTTCACTGACTGCACACTCAGGCAGTGCAAAGATACCCTCGCTGACGTGGCACTTGTCCTGAAAGAAGTAAAAAAAATTACATTGCAAGTGTCCTCAAGTGAAATTTCATATTTAATACGCTAAGTTCATTCAACGCATTTCAACAATAAATATTTCATTTAATGTTTTAAACTTGCAAGAACTCTTAAAGGCTGATTAGAATGACAAAATCAAATCCAGTTTAGTCTTGAAGCGCACAATTTCCAACAAATTCTAACCTTGGCATCTTGTTTTTGATCTTTGACGTTCTTGTTGTCAACCTTCATTGTACCGACTCTCTTTGTATTGTGCAGCTCTCTCTTCATCAGCTTGCGGGCTTCAACTATCAGCTCTTGACACTTTCCAAAAATAAAATAAACCGAACATGAAAACTGTCAGGGATGAAGTCAAATCCATCACAAGTTCAGCCACAAGTAAATCACAAGTCCAGTCACAAGTCCAGTCACAAGTCAAGTCACAAGACCAGTCACAAGTCCAGTCACAAGTCCAGTCACAAGTCCAGTCACAAGTCTGATTTTAAACTGATTTTTACATTTTTCTTGTTAATTCTAATAATTACTTTGTGTTTAAAGGGATTTTCTATAATTATGTTACTTTGTAAGCGCCCTGGAGCATTGTTTTTTCGATGGATTGGGCGCTATATAAATCTTTGCTTATTATTATTATTATTAAGTCCAGTCACAAGTAACAGTGGATGAACAATAAAGGAATGCCTTTGTCAAAACTCTTGTAAATTGCTTGTGGGTTGAATTGGGACTGGAGGACTTGTGATGGACTGGACTACATCCATGAACAAAAGTTTGAAGAAGAGGTTAAAAATTGATGAAGATTCAAACTATGCAGAATATGGTGGATTGCTGTAGTATTGCATTAAGCAGGAGCATTTGTGTTGAAGTCCACTCTGGGAAAACTTACAAAAAGTTTTCAACATAGGCTTTTGAGAGACTAGAATGTCCTTGTCCTGAAGGCAAAAACGCTTTTTACCCCAAAGTTCAGAGCAGTTTATTGATGCATTCCAAAATAATTGTGTCACCCTCCAGCATAAAACCAGAGCCAATTTTTGAAAACCAGGATTTTGAGCTTATTGGAAAGGACATTAAATGAACTTTCCAATGATGTATAGAATATGGGAATCGGACAAAATCTGACGGAGCTATTGATTTTTTCAGTTCCCAAATATCATCAACATTCTATGTATTACAGGTTGTATTTCAAAATGCGGCCGTACAATTTCCGACTGGTTTGCTGGAGGATCATATGTGAATGAGATGAACCAAAGATTCAGAAGGGACCAAACAGTCCAACTGTTGCCATTCAAAAAATGTTCCCACAAGATCAGTGTTGGAGGTCTCGAGGCCGGCCTCAGCCTCGAGGCCGATTTTCATGACCTCGGCCTTGGCCTCGGAGGTGCAAGGCCTCGGCCTTGGAGCCTTCCGGCCTCGGCGAATCGGACGAGGCCGGCTCAAGGCTGCCCATTTTGATGTGTTTTCTTTTCTAATTAATTTTAGTTTTTTACCGTATCAAACCCTCGAGATTCTTCCGCATTGGGTTACGTGAAACGAACGCATATACAATGTACGCACGAATGAACTGGAAATGGTTGCATTGAAAGTACTCACGCACGTAGCATCTTCGCCTAGCCTGCGCTTCAGCTTTCCACGTGCTTGCAAGCGTTATAACTGTTACCGCGTGCCAGACTACATAAGTCTGGAACCAATCCCATTTGCGTACAATAACATGTCGTAGTAGACTGGTCTGGTTGCAGTGTTGAACACAATTTTCTCGTTTCACCTCTGTACCCCGACCTTTAAAAATGATTTGAGGCAAGGTGCGGCAAGCTTAATCATTTCTTTTTATAGGCCACTGTTTCAGTAAAAGTCTGAACTTTCTGGGTACGATCGAGTGTATTAGTCCTTAACCTTTTTTTTTCTAATAAAGATATGATAAAAACAATTACAATTTATCAAGTAGATTTTATTTTTACACGGTGATTTAAAAGAAAGTTCCGGCTCACACGGTAATGTTTGGCGCAAATGGTCGATATGGAAAGCGCGATTTCAGAATTCGTTTTTCCATCCAAATGAATGCAAAGTTCTGAATGAATGTTTTAATAATAGGAGTCAGTATTCCTCGTGGTAGCAGGATACTTTTATTTTAGAGCCATGTTGATACTTATTACATGTATAAGCACGGTTTGAAATTGAATAATTTTGCGTGGTTACAGATATACGGCCAAAAAACCTCTGGACTCCCTACCTCTTGCCATGATCTTAAAATTTTTCGAAGCCATTGGATTCAAATCGGATGATCCGAGAATTCATGGTCATTTTGATGAATTGAGTGATATCATGCACGCATGTTCCGTGTTGTTTGGAGCGGGATTGGCCATTGCAAGACTTTGCCTGGTACCGCGGTATTAACAGTGATGATGCGTGGACACTTATCCCATTATGTGGAGCGGGATTGGAACTATGCTTTGCCCGTGCGTAATGGCGGGCCGTCTGGCATTGTCTGGTCGCATCGCGGCGTTTGCTCGGCGCGCGCCTGGACAGTGCGAAGGTCGGGTCGGGGGGGGGGGGGTCATAACTTTTTGGTTATGAGTGGTAAAAACCTGATTCAAAAATCAAGTTGGTGTTTATTTAATGGGGATTCCTATGATATTAAGCATTTTGATAGGTTTGGAAAATAAGATTTATAAAACATGCTAAAAGTAAATGATGTAAATCTTACAGAATAGAAACTCTAAATTTGGCCGTTAATTTGGTTTTGGTTGTATCTCCAAAGGGCAAACACCTACATGTATGAGCCTGACTCAAACGCCATTGATTTTGTTGTGTAATTTGCTTTCAGTGATACAAAACTTGAGATTTCTTTCTTTAAAAAATAAAATTCGCCTGACTCCCTACTAGAGGAAACCCATTGCAAGCAGTAAATTTGTAAGCCAGGCACTCCAAAACTCAGTGAATTCAACTAAAAAGATGTTAAAACACCAACATAATCTTAGCCTTGTTTTAGTGATTTATATTTTATTACGTGTTTTGATAGCTGGCCTCGGCCTCGGAGGTGGTGGCCTCGGCCTTGGCCTCGCGGTTGTGGCCTCGGCCTTGGCCTCGCCGTTGTGGCCTCGGCCTTGGCCTCGGAGGTTGTGGCCTCGGCCTTGGCCTTGGAGGTTGTGGCCTCGACTAAAACACTGCACAAGATTTTTAAAAATAATAGACATTAAAAAAAAAACAATTGTTTATACCTTTTTGTTAGCAAAATGGACATTGACATCTCTGGCGTAGGTCAGCAGCAGAGAAGCAGTTTCTGCAATAAACCTTGGGATAGAAAGATCTCTTTAATAAGAAACTTTCTTAAGTGACGAATTTTGCTCCAGCACGGTGTCAGGTACACACCGACACTTGTTTTATCAGAGACAGAAAGATCTCTTACAATTAAAGGCAGAGTAGATCATGTGAAAGTTAGATTTGAGGCTTTGCATGGTGGAGATGAATGAAAGGTTTACAGAAACACCACGTGGGAATATATTTCTCAAACTAAAGTGAATGGTTCTGAAAAGACTCCACGTTCTGGTCAGTGTGCTCTGACCATTCTCTTTAGTTTGAGAAACTTATTCCCACAAGGTGTTTCCGCAAACCTTTCATTCATAAGAACATTTGCAATTTGCTTCATTTGAAACAACAAAAGTGCTCAAAATCTATAGACAGATGCTTTACAACTGACCTGATGAAGTTTTAGCTCTGTGAATGCTGTATATTTCGAGAAAACAATATTCTAGGATCTTCATTTCAATTCAAAAGTTGAACATTCATATTTTGAATTGCACCCGAAATCAGTATCCGGGACACATTCTCATTCAGCTGATTGCAGCTATGAGATGTCACGCAACTGAACCTGATGAGTAATAGCAACAACGCGCGAGCGTGTGCGTGTTACAAACAAACTACAAACACAACTACAAACCAACTACAAACGGAAATTTCCAAAAATGCGTCACTTGACACATCTTTGGAAATGACCTTCTTTTATTGTTTTCTTCAAAATGACAGCATGCCAGAATGAATAATTTCACAGGGAGTTTAGTGCTATTATTATCTTTAAACCAAGTATGCTTTTCAACAATAATTTGGTTAGTTACTCTTTGGATAGCTGCAAACAAACTACTCTCCCTTAAAAATATTAAGCTTCAAGGCAGCATTTTATTATATCTTTTGTGCAATTATTTGTTTTGGTTGTTGTTTAAACTGCTGACTGACCTGTTTTCCGGAGAGAAGCTTCAAATCTCTCAGTAGCCGTGATGACAGCTTTGTACTCATTGAGCTGAAATGGTGAATATGATGAAATCAGCAAAATATCTTTATCATACATTATTTAGAGAATATACCAAATATCTTCATATTCAATCATCAACCGGATAGCATTTATTCCCGATTCAATAGACAGGCATGCAACTGATAATTTAGAAAAAACGAGGAAATTCCAAACCAACATTTTGTACTGTATTTTCCAGTTTGTATTGGCATTCATGAGAAGTAAAAAAACCGAGGAAATCAGCAGATCTGAGGAAAAGTTGCATGCCTGAATAGACCTAAGACACTTGGCTCCCATAGGAAAGCGCACATGTAAACAAAGCAGGACGTCATTATGTCTAAAGGCCTTTTCACACTATGAACGTCCGACCCGTGTCGAAATCTACACGGTTCCAACCCGTGTCGACTTCTAAAAATTTCAACACCGTTCACTTTCGCTACGTTTTCACACTACTCATTGCAAACGCGGCGTTTTTGCCATGCGTGTAATGTTTCGACCCGTGTATTGCGTGATCGTTTCACACTTCACACACGGCCGTCCGCCCTACACGTGTTATATAGCTCCATGGATGGTCAGCGCAAAGGACCCGCACTTCATGTCAGTCCTTTTTCTGATTTTGGTCCCATTTTACGTCGGAGGATAAAATATTCTGAGAACGCACGAAAAACCAAACATGGTCGGCCGTTTCTACTTTCTAGTCCTTACGAAAAAGCAAGCACGGCCGAGACAAACGCACGAAAAACCAAACATGTTCGGCCGTTTCTACTTTCTAGTCCTTACGAAAAAGCAAGCGCGGCCGGCAGGTGTAGCGAGAATATCAGGCGTTATGAAATACGGACCCATTAAGGTATTGCACATGCTCATGCATAGCTAATTAGGAGAGGGACTGATCACGTGAAAGGGTTTAACCAATAAAAGGGAAAAGAAGTCCGATTTTCACACGAATCCGATTTTCATATCACACCAATGGTGGCGTAACAACTACAGCGTGATGCTGCATGCACGCACTCGTACTCCGGCCGGTCCGCGTCCGATGAGTCGATGTGCGGTTGTACACGGGTCAAACGTAACCCAGAAGTGTTCATACTACGGCTTTCAACATGTGTCGGACTTCTCAACACGGATCGAGAATTCTCAACCCACCTCCCGAGTAGGGTAAGTTTGACACGGGTCGAGCATTCTACACAAGTCAGTGCCGTGTTTAAATGTCGGAGTGTGAAAAGGTTAGTCCAGTTTACACGTGTCAGACCCGTGTACAACACGGAGATTTTTCGTAGTGTGAAAAGGCCTTCAGGTCTATTCCATTATTGAAAACCTCACAATTTGGTTTTTAATGTTTAAGTAAGATTTTAAAATAAATGTGCACATAAATTTCTGCAAAAAACAACAACACTAATTCAGAGATGACGATACAGATAACAAATCTTTAAATAAGCAATGCTTTTTTTAATTTTAAGATAAACCCTAAAGAATGGTTGAAGAAAGTAATGCTGTGTGGCTACCTTTGAGCTGCTTGTGGGTATCGAGTGCACCAGACAATGTGTGATGATACACTTGGACAGCTCTGGCCAGATGTGTTCTCCTGTAAAGGTCAAAGAAACATTTGGTTAACGCCCTAATTTATGTGTCAGAGGGACAAAATGATTAACTCCCTGGGCATTTTTGCTAGGATGCAACCTCAATCCTGCAAAATCCTCCAACTGCCTCCATGTAAAAATTGCATACAGCCTAAAATCCTGCAAACTCCTCCGTTACTTCATGAATGTTATTATTATTATTATTAATCATTTCTGGTAATGAAACCAAGGATTCCTCAAAAAGAAATTGAAATGTTGTCACAACATATGTACAAAATCGGGGGAAAAGAATAAAAGGAAGAAAAAAAAATTGTAGGAAAAAAACAAAAGCTGTTCCCAATTTGCTAATGAGATTGTCCCTACCTAGCAAAGCCATCAGCGTTGTGTTCTCATCTCTGTTTTTACCCTCTGTCTTGAGGCTAAGTAACGGCCTGCTCAGTGCTTTCAGTATTGCCAGAGTGCTCTTGTACACAGCTACGGGATCGGACGGCTCCTCAGAGCTCTTGGATAGCACCTTGAATCTAACGGTGGTTGACTGCGACTGCAAAGAAGATGTTAACACATTCATTCACTAAATGCACAAAAAAAGGTTTTGCTGAGGAGTGCTGTGGCCTCGTGGTCTGGAGCATTGAAATTGTGGTCTGTGGGTAACACTGCAGGTTGTGGGTTCGAGTCCAGCAGTGGTTATGCAATGTTATGGTGCGTGTGTGCCCTTGGTTAAAGCACTTTGTCACTCATTGCTTCTCTCCACCCAGGAGTAAATGAGTACCTGTGAGGGCAGAGATGGTTATTGTGATTGAATTAGCTTCTTTGTGCCGAAATGGCACCATAGTTCATTGGTCCAATGAGCAGGGTAATAACGATGTAGCGCCTTGAGCACCAATTCGCTTCGTTAGTGTGACGTCATCTCAATTTAACCATGCATTCTTCACACAGTGTAGCATAGTACAAATGGAACCGGAAGCTAACGCACCTCGTGTATATCCAATGGGCGCTAATTATCAGTGGTGTGCGTGCATGTATGACGTTTTTACTAACAAACTGGATACTGGTGGATACATGCACTTTATAAATACACATTATTAGGTTACCAGCCAAAATGTTTTACTTTTTGGCTTAGACCAGTTCCCCGCTGAATTTCCCCGCAAGAAATTAGTGTTTAACACATTTTTTCTAACAGAGGATGTGTCTGTTATAGGAAAATAGCAGTCAGCACAGCAAATAGCTTATAACTGATGAAAAGGATTTTTGTGAGCACGATAGGAAACATTAGCAAATCTATGCTATGAAGCGGCATTGTATACGTTTAGCACAATTTTCTCAAATGTAGCTGTTGGCAAAACAAGACTGAGGAACCCACACCCAACAGTGGTTGATATAAAACCGTTTTACCCAGCAAAACAGGTTGTATACTTATGAACTTATAAACTTGTACAATTTGTATAATATTCATTTCTTCTAGTTCTGAAAAAAAAACCAAAGCAAAATTCAACTGTAACTTAAGACTTAATGGAGAATGACAGTACCTTTTTAGCTGCGTTAATTGATGGCGCAACATTTGACAGCGACACAACTGGCTTCAGAATATGCTCCATCAGTTTCTTTCCTGAAAATGGAAAATTAACAGCCTTTTTGTTAAAAACACAACAGTCAATATGCGGCTGACATTTTTAAAGGAACTGAAGGATACAAGGAGCAAAGTCTGTTCCAAATGTGGTGATATACAATTGTTCCGTTAATGCACTTTTGGTTTATCAAAGCTCGGTGTTGAAAAACAGTCACAAAGAGAAGACAAACATTTAAGAAACTCACCGAAAACTTGCATTTTGCTCTTCAGAATTCCAACCTGACTCATGGCATTGACAGTCACCGCAGCATTTTCACTGTAAACTGGTGAAAAAAAATTGCAAAACAAAATGTACTTCTGGGTGGGGAAAGCAATGAGTGTCAAAATGTCATGCACACGGACACAAGCACAGCACCGCTACCCCGGGTTGGACTCGAACCCATAACCTACAGAACTTGAATACGATACTCCAGACTACATGCCATAGCGTCCCACTGTCTTGATGACCTACCTAGTTTGAGTTGGACTTGGCTGACGTTGGTCAGGGTGACGGGTTCTTTGGCATGGGGTATAGTCCAGACAGTCATGGCAGACCAGGCCTCTCCTAGATGATGCAGCAGCGTCTCTTGGTTCACTCGCAGCTCAGACTAAAACGGGGAAAAAAAACCTCTTATCAGCAATGTCTCTCTCTGGCTGGCAAAATTCAACGTCATCCCAACTGACCTATCACCGTTTGTGAGTTAGCCACGCCCCTTTAGACAACCCTAAGGAATATTTGTACACTACGTTTAGTTTGTCTCAGATTTTGCGAGTTCCATGTCCATCCATATATCTGTAAATTGGACAATATTTTACAAGCTGCATTGACGCAATTCTAATGTGATTCTAACGGGATAGGTCAATTCACTTTCTGCATCCTCACTGGCCTGCTGCAAGTAAACAGACAACGGATAAGCTCCTTACCCTTAGAGCCTTGACAATTTTCAGCTCACAGTATTCGTCTTCAATGAAAGCAGATTTCTGCATGAAAAAAAATTTGAAATCCAGTGAAATCTCGATAAGTCAAACCTCAAGGGAATAGGTTCGAAATTTGAGTAAGGCAGGGTTTCATATCATTGTTATACTAAAATCCATGTTTAACTTAACAGTAGATTTGAGTTATCAGATTTGGACTCATCGAAATTTCACTGTCCATATGCAAAGTACAACACGATTACAGTGGATTCAACAATTACTACAATAACCGGAAATTTGTTATTTTAAAGGGGCACTAGGTCCTGAAATCCCCAAAAATGTTATGTTTTGGATTGTTTGGAAACCAACCTAATGTCTTACTGTTCCTGAAAAAAGACGGAAAAAACGCTTGTTAACATCGGACATAACGGAGTACGAATACATTTTTCGTGTCGTTCTCAGTGTACCCTATACACGTCGTGTGTCTCAGGAACAGTGCACGGTGACGGTCACCAATGCAAAAAATTGTGGTTTCTTCAACGTCCGCTAAAGCCGAACACTTTACTTGTACGAATGAAATCACAACTAGCTTCCAAACAGCTCAAATTTATGGGGTCGCAAAAGTGGACCCCGAAATTCGTTCTAAAACAGGAATAACACAAAAACTCCCAGTTTTGAAAGGATAGTTGTGTGGATGTTTATATCCTACATTTAAATGATATTTCCGATTATCATCATCTCGTTCAAAGTGCGTTTTGTAGCCCAATTGGGATGTTCCAGGACCTAGTGTCCCTTTAAAGTAAAGTTCTTACAAAAAAAAAGAACTTTGCATTGCTTTTTAAACAAACTAAATTTGGAAAATAGAAATCAAATCTCATCTTAAATTGATTGGAAAGTTACTTTCATTTGTCTCTTACCAATTCATTGATGGCATCGGCTGCTTGCAGGAACTTACTGTTCTGGACGAAGCTTTGAAAATCTGTCAGTAAACTTTGAACCTGTCAAACAAAACAAACAGACAAATCATTAGAATCGTCAGGAAAGCATGGTTTCTTGAAATGAGGAGGATGAAATTATAAGAAAAACAAACTGATTCGTCAATAATGATTTCCGATGTTTGACCATAATTCCCTCCTCTAAATTGAGTCTACAGCATGGAATCACAGAATAAAATAAGGCGCTTATAAAGACGATTGTGTAGTTATGGCCCCCATTTAGTTTAGGTCAAGTATAATGCTAGGTTCACACATTTCTGAATTAGTTGTGGATACAACAAGTTTTAAACCAAGAATTGAAATTGGTTTCCGAATCACCCCAACAATTTTGAACACCTTCAAATTTGTCTGGGCGCTTCCCGATCTTAAACAATCTTTCACCGAACAAACAGAATCATCCCGAGGCTGCCAACAACAATCCCTAATTTACTCAAGAAGTGCTATTCGCGGCGATTCGGCTTAAAAATTGGAAGTGTGTGCACCTAGCCTAAGGCCTGTTCTAGACGCCGTGCTCCAGCTGTGCCAAACACAATTAATTTGCCCGTTTTTAATTCGGGATGGTGATAGTACAGCATTTAGATATATGTCTAGGTAAATTGAGTTCGGCACGGCACCATCCTTTGGCTCAACAGGGCTGCCGAGCTGTCGTCATTCAGAGAGTCAGTGCCACAGCACTGTTCTAAACACCGAGCCGTAGCCGTGCAAGTCAATTCAATTCGAAGTTGGGCAAACGTTTAATGTCCTCCCTTGTGTCCGCATCACATTAAGTGAAATTGGCGCAAACAGTTTGAATGTTCATTGAACTGCTCGAACTGCTGTAACCTGGCCAGTTACTCCAGGTTCATTCAATTTCAACTATTAGGTTCGGCATTTAGAGCACTGATGCGCTGTAGATGAGCTAATGCCACACTCATAAATAATTAAGTTCGACGCAGCAGTAGCACGATGTCTAAAACGGGCATTAGAGGCAAGAGTATTTTGGTCATTTCAAAATGACTTCTGCAACCTAAAGAAGATTTGTTTCAATTCGAATGACAACATATTTTGTTAATTTGAACAGTATCTTTTGGTAGAAAATGCAGTTTCTTTTACATATTTTTTTCAGTTGATGCCATTGAAATCAACGTTTTGTGCACACTCACGGTGTATCGGGGTGATCGCTATCGCTATTTTGGTGTTTTGGGGTTTGTTGTCTTCATTGTCATTTTACTCCAAAATTTCCATCAAAAAATCAAAACCCTGCCCTCTTTTCATGACAGTCATGTGGGTTTTAAACATCCTAACTTGAGTTTGTGAGTTCAATAACTTGATTTTTCCTTTTCTTATAGGAACAAGGCCTGTAACTACACAGCCACCCTTATAATAAAACTTCACACTAAAGTCACAACGTGCCTCATAAATATTACCCCTATCCATCAGACCATAAGGCTACATTTTCGTAGCCCAAATAACGATATCCATTACAATGTTCTCCTTTTGCGTCCAAATACTGTGACGTTATTTAACTTCACAATTAACATTTATCCACTCCGAACTATATGAGAATTCACTTCCCATTTTTAACTAATGCATTATCAAGCCAAAAATAACTTGTGCGTGTTCCTAAAATGTATACTGAAATTTATCATCTGCTAATGGATGCATTTTTTGTGCAAAATATATTGGTTGCTCTGGAAAGATTAAAGTGCGAGAATCTTTGCTCTAACATAAACATATTCATAACTTTACTGGACAATGTAGGCTATAATGAAATAGTTGTCTACCCAACCACTCTGCGTTTGTAACAACAAACGCGAACCTCCAGTTAAAACTGAAACAAATTCAATTCTCAGATTTCATGTCAGTGCAAGTAGTGAAACTGACTTACATGCATCTGCTTTGGTTACAGGAACTGATACCACAAGATAGTCACATGCATTAAAATCGGACAGAAATGGGGGGGGGGAAGGAAAAGAACAAGAAACTTTCTGCTTCAATTCCACTTTGCTCAAGGTCTTACAATCCCTGTAAGTATAAATCTGGAGTGATCTTGAAATAGAGAAGAATATTCTTTGCTGCATCTGAACAACATGTGGCTCACAGAGCTCAATGCTACATTGTGCATGAACTATGGGTGATGGCTACCAAAACAGCTCCACTCCATCAACTGGGTGGAAAACTGAAGTTGAAAAGCATCTTGAGAACTTTTACATGAGTGAAGAAAGAACTAATCAAATGAAATGGTTAGGTGCTGAAATCATTGCACCAATTGGCCTCTGCTTAAACTTTATCTTTCTCTTCACAGTCATTCGAGTGAAGTCCATGCGTACAATCATCAACATCTACTTATCCAATCTGGCTGTGGCTGACTCCCTCCTACTTATGACTCACTTCATATTTGCAGTGTTTCCACCTATAGAGTCCAGCTTATTGGTCAACAAGGCAACATCAAGTGCCCTATACACGTTCCTTGCTACTTCTAATTTCTTTGTGGTTACCATAGCAGCTGAGAGATTCTCGGCAGTACGCAATCCTCTGACATTCAAGGAAAAAGCCTCTAAATCTCAGGCAGCAAAGATATCAGCAGGACTCTGGGTGCCAACAATTATTGTTGGTGTGATTCTGATTTTCTTACCATTAACAGATGATGTCTTCTCTAAAGTCTACCTTGGGATTCTTTCCATTATCAACATTGCCTCTTTGATAGCAACTCTTGCTTTGTACATCTATGTAGTACTGAAAGTGTGCAAGCAATCAGCCCTGTTTCCGAACCGTCCCAAGCGAGCAGGCAAGGTCCTCTGCATGGTTATCATGAACACTGCTGTTTTCTTCATTCTGAACTCACTGTACACTGTAGCTGCAATTATGATAATACATGCACTTGCATCCAAGTTAACTTCAACTGCTCAGATTGTTGCCTATCTGGAACTTGGGGAGACAATTCATATTCTGGGTACATGCATTATAATTTTGCAACTGATCAATAGCTCAATTAATTCCTTAGTCTACAGTGCCACAAACACTGACTTTCGTCAAGCTGTAGTCAAGGCTTTCTCATTCCTCATACTGTGCTGTCGTTGCTGCCCAAGACGGAATCCCAGCCGACCATCGCAGCCAGGGAAGCAGATTGAGCTTCATGTGATTCCACAGGCAGAAAATGACCAAGAGCACCATGCTGCCAGGCCAAGCAGGAGCAAGCCACCAAGCCAAGGGCATGCACAACACACAGAGAGTCAGCAGTCACTGGACAGCTGTCAAGAACAATGTTCCAGGCAAAGCAGCAGCAAGGCATCCATGCACAGTCAGCATGTTCAAGTGCATGTTGAGGTACATGCAGAACCAGCAACCAGCGCTTGCAATTTCACATGAGGAACAATGACTGCAAGCCATCCATGCAAGGGGAACAGTGTGTACATCCAGAACCAGCAGAGAGCCAGCAGTCACTTGCAAGTACTCAGGAACAATGTCCTGGGCTGACTGGCACCGAGCCATCAGCACAAGGGCAGCAGTATGCACATCCAGAACCAGAAGGGAGTCCACCATTTGAAAGTTGTCAAGAACAATGTGTGTGTTTACCATTACTTTCATATATGATTATTTTCATGTTTCATTTTCAAATTCATTCCATGGCCCTTTAATTCAGTTGCTGTTTGTTTATCATAATCGAGGGTTGAATGTTTAAGGAGCAAACTCACCGCCAATCCAAAATGTCTTGGGAGGTTTTGGATCTCAATCTTGAAGATCTCTGAGGTGAAGTGCTGTTGTGTCAGATAGTGATAAGGATCCGTTATGGCAGCACCAGTCATCGGTACGTCAGAGGTGCTGGTGGAATGGTTATCTTGTGGGTCAAGACCTGATAGACAAATGAACAGATTAAAAAAATTGATACGGCTAGAGCTATATTGTCTAGGTCTTCAGAGCTCTAGAAGCCCGTTTCAGACACAGCCTAAGTAACAGATCAACAAAGTTGCAAGTTATGCATTAAGAGCATCTGATTCCAAATACATTACACCAATCTTTGTGCATACATGTACATGTAGCACAACGTGGAAAATACTTTTTGCAGACCAAATGAAGTGCAGAATTTTTGTTCAAACTTTCTTGAATTCTATCTTTAGCAAGGAGAAATCCAATTGAATAGATGTTTTGCTGCAGAGCACAGGCCATTGTAGGCTTTAGATGTACAGTATGGGATTTAAGTCTGGTGTATTAAAGGTGTCTTCACAGCTACTATCTGGGAAAAAATGTAGTTGATAGTTGAAGTCAGCAATTTGTACTCCACTTCTGTCAATAGAGCGTGCAAGTTGACCTCAAAAACCTCAGTGATTTTACTAGGTTTATCCAGTCAAGGGCAAAGAATGGGTTCTGAACAAGAAAAAAATCTTTCCAATTTACAACACATTAAAAAAATATTGCAAGTTGATTACTTTAGTAAATTGAAAAAATGTTGACCTCCACTTCCGTTCATTGGGTGAATTGGGTGAATTCAAACACGGGAGTCTGTGGCTAGACTAGTCAGTGTTTGGTACCAAGATGTTCACATGAAAAGTGAATGTGAACTGGCGAGACTTGCATGCTCTATTATTGTACATATAATCTGTGTAGCACCACTAGTCTGTTGTATTACATTATGAGCTCCATGTTTGTATGATGTTTAAATGCAAAGCAATATTCTAATATTTCTTTTAGATGGACTCAAAGGTACTTCAAATGTGGGTAATTGAAAAATCAATGCTGTAAAATATGAATGTCGTTGTAAAGTTAGCATCGTACAAGATGTATCTTAATTTGCACAGTATCCAAGGAATTGCTGCTTTTTATATGTTCATTAAAGCTGCAATTTCCTTGTGTAATTTAAAACTCTAAACACAAATAATACAGAAATGTACAATCACCAAATCAGTGTTTGAGCTCTTACGTCTTTCTGATACCTAGTAATACTTAAAAAAAATTGCAGGGCAAACCATGTTTCTAAATGTCACAAACTTTTTATAGGGCAAACAAATTTGCGTGTAAAAGCAAAATCAGTGATAAGATAAATAAAAGTGTACACTAGCAACATTTAAACAAACAGTGATTTTTCTGAATTTTTTTTATTTAAAACCTAATTCTTGCTTGTACAAAAGTAATTGTTGAAAAATCCATACTGAGTAAAAGAGCTTGTTGGACAATGTTGGAATTACAAACATATACCCTCAATATTCATGCCAGAAAAGTAAGACAACATATTGGTCAGCAAAGGGGATGACAAGGGTTTAAGTCTTTTGTGGCTTGTTTCTTTCTTTTCAATAATTAAAGGGAATATACATCATTTGCTTTTGCTGTAATTTTCAGAAATGGATGGAATTGGGGGGTAGGAAATATATAGCAAATCTAGTTACACTGACTTTTTTGAGGTTTTGGGTTCGAAAATGCTATAAAAACCAAGAAAAACAATCATTTTCCTGTAGCCTGGTTCCCTGACTCCATTTAAGAAGAAACAGAGCAGTTTACATATATTGGGGAATTGTAAGGTCAGGGAACCAGTCTAGCTGGCTTGTACCCGTTCATAGGTTTGTAATCGATTGCAAACAAGTGTGATGGTCAACTGGGGCCAGTATTTGAAAAAAAGCCAGTTTTTTCCAACGCTGATCGGCCGATCAGCGTTGGAAATGGATACAAAAATACCACTTTTCTTGAAAATGACAGTATACTAGGTGCCATGATTTTACAGGATGCTTTACACTGTCATTCACTAACAGTCCAGCAAGGTATTTCAAAATGATTTGGTAGTTTTATTTTTTGATGTTTGCAAATGTTGTATTTTCCCTTTAATTCCTGACAGACATAATAGACAATGCACAATATGTACACCTGTCAATCTTTCTGTGTGCTGCATTCTGATTGGTTGGAATTGATCAGCATTAACTACTAATAGGCCACGCCCCTTGACAGCCAAACCAATCAAACATAAAAGCTGATCTACGTCTTTTACCAAAATGGAACTTCAGAGGAAGCGCCAAGCCAGAAACCAACAGTGTTATCTGTCAATGAAAATAAGAAGACATGATACTGAAACTATTGCACAATTTATCCAGGGCCAATTTTCATGCAGACCTGACAAAAAAAATTTGGGGAACAACTGAGAAAAAATCCTGGAACTTTCTGTTCAGCTTTCATAACAGGTGCATTAAGTACATGTGTGCACACTTTATATCCAGGCGAGGGGGTACTTGTGAACGGAGCGCTACACACACAAAATGAAGAGATTGCATATAAATTCCAGTTTCACTCACCGATGCCATCTACACTCTTGCCGATGGTAAACTCACACTTGTTGCGATAACTCTCTAATACTGGCTGTGATTGTGCAAACAAACAATGAAAATGAAAGGAACAAATCAGACATCTCCAATGTCAGGAATATTCACCCCACAAAAGATTCACATGCTGTATAGTTTATCTAACAAGAAATCCAGGTTGAAATATAAATTTAGTACAAGTAAGGTGACTCTATCTATCTACCCGAGTTCAAAGATCACACCAGTCAAGCTAACCTAACACTATGTGCCAATGTGAACTATCATTGAGATTATAATTCATAAAATCATTCACAATACTACAAATAAATTTAAATAAAATCTATATTTTTATCAACAAATATTTGTCACCTAGCTTACTCACTGATGGCTTAATTGGTTCCAACTCACATGCCATCCTACTGTGGTTCTTCCTGTCAATCAAATGAAGAGTGCACTATTCAACATGAGAGTGTGGGTTCGAATCCCACTCCAACAGGCTTGTAAATTTCTTGTGGTAACCACAGCTATATATGCACAAGATTCAAACTGGCCCACTAACCTTTGCAAGCTCTGTTATTGAGTGGTTAAGATGTCTGCACTAGTAAGCAGGAGGTCATGGGTTCATATCTCACCCAAGCAAGCTTGCAGAATCTTTGCTCGTAAGCTTTCAGACAGCACTAATATACAGTGCATTCAAATTTACATTGGTGAAGGTCAAAACCAGGTATTCACATTCACAACTCCCCTAAGTAAACAATTAATTAAACTCATTGGTTGTAGTACCTGTGTTACAACTGATAATGACTGATAGTGAAATTGCCCGATAGTGTAGTAAATGTTACTACACTATCGGTTAATATTTGTTACATTATCAATTAAAACGGATAATGTAACAACAATGGACTGATAGTGTGTACATTTTTACTACACTATCGGTCAATTTCTGTTACATTATCGGTTAGTGATACAGTATCGGTCAATTTGTGTGACATTATCAGTTGGTGATACATTATCCGTTGGTTACTACATTATCAGTTGTAACAACCTGCTGTATCAGATTGGGACCAGCCAGCCAACCCCAGCAAGCCTGATGGTCAAGTACCTGAGACATTTGCACTAGGAAGCAGGAGATTGTTGGTGCGAGTCTCATTCGATCGGCTTATGAATTGTGAAGTTTTGGTTTTGTGTTCATTTTTCTGCTTTTTGTTTGTAAACATTTTTTTACCAACTCCCCCCCCTTTTAATCTTTGGGACTTTTGTATGTGGAAAGGAAGTTTATTTCAGAAGTTGGCCCAAAGCTTGCTGAGTTTTAATTGATTCTCAAGAAAAATGAGGCATCATTTTCTGGACTTTTAAATGAAATTTCAGGGCAGCTGTACATCATGTACATGTAAGTCCACTTGCCAGAAAACTGTGTCTGGAAACAGTTTTTTTGTCAACAAAGATCACATTTCCATTCTGGCCCACAACCATCCCGTGTCTTTGGTGAGTAGCTCACCTTTGTTGCTTCAGCCAGGGAGACATCTCCCCAATGTTCCGTTGCAGCATCTTGGATAAATTCCTCAGAAACTCCCTGGTGTTGGTCTATTTGGTGGATATCTGGTCCTCAAACGGCTGGTTCCACAGTGGAGTCAGCATGTTGTTGAACCTGTAGATTGGAAAAAGATGTGAAAAGCACATTCAGTTTTTCCAGAGTCTTAACAAATATTGGAAAAAGTGAATAGCTCAACTGCTATCCTTTTGCGATATATGGCAGACACAATACAAGGGTGTTATTTGATTTGGGTATATTGGGCTAGATTATGCAAAAGACTAGACCCAAACCAAATAGCGCCCTCGTATTGTGTCCACCGTATCTCCAAAGGGTAATGGATTGTGTGTGGAACTTGTCATCTTTCTACATACAACCATTCTCCTAACTTCAGTTCATAGTTCTGGTGGTGCATTGCAAATTAAAGTTTAAGCTTGAAACAATGAGGGTAATGTGTTCAACTTCGACAGTTTATCAGATAAAATAAGAACCATCTGAAACTGTGAATCGCACACACACTCTACACAGACATGCAACCTTTAATGCTGTACCTTCTAGGAAAAAAACAAGGAAAACTGTCCACATAACAGTTTTGCTCAACAAATGCCAGATGAGGTACTGAATTTACTTAAAGTTCCGTGCTATTTTCGAGTTTCATCCCGAAAAACAGATTTCTTTACCAATCTGCTATTTTTCAAGCAATACAAAAGTTATTCACTTTTGAATGAAACACCAAACACAAAAAAGCTCACGTTCAGTTATTGAATTATTACTTTACAATTCCAAATTATTGGCTGCCAAACATAATTTCTGTTCTTGCTGGGTAGGCTGGTCCCCCCCCCCCCCACCACAATCAGTATCAATAATGTACGGACGGGAGCCAATCATGGGTAATTTCTTAGTATAACATTTGATAGCAGAAATCTAAGTACACTTTCAATTTCAAGCAAGACAGTGTAGGAATTCCATGGTTTCAAATCTTTGTTGATGCAGTTGTATCTGTATTTTAAATGTCTTTCTTGATTATCCAAACACCAAATCTAAAGCTTGTGTCAAGTTTCTATATGTGAGATATAAATAAATATGTTGTAAGCAAAATGTAGTGAACGACCTGAAAGATTTTGTGTCATTTTTTGATCTGCATCTAATTTTATTCAGTTACAGATAATTCAAGTGTTACGTTATGTCTGTGATCTTTTATGAGCTGCAAAACTCTACATGTAAAAAGTGCAGAGTGCCATTTCACCTTTTTTAAAGAAAGGCCAAAAAAAAAGTCTCCGGTTTCTGGTATGGAGCTTGCCCAAAAAGTGGTGTGGCGACGCGGCTATTTTATTATTTTTTTTACCTGGTTTGTTGCTTCAAATGTCGGCTGATGACTGCAAATGGTGCCCGACTATAAAACTTAGTGCAAATGTATGGGAGTCCAGAGAGGCCACATAAAGCTTTTTCTCGACCATAACCCCATCTAAAAACACGTTAAAATTGTGCAGCAGCAGGATTCCAGTCAAACCGTTGAGTTTGGCGGTTTTGAGACATCATCTTTCATTGAAAAAAAAACTCTTTTTTTGGGCATAACTTAGATTTGAGCAAAACCTTAGTGACGGATTACACAATGAACATGTAAAAAAGTATGCCAAAGTCAACTGTGAAACTCTAATGTCAACTTTGGTTTAGTATGCATTCAAAACAAGGAACAAAGAACTTATCCTTACAAATCTTAGAGATAAAGAAACACTAAGGGGAAAAAATGCAGAAGCTTTTTATTTCAATTACACATTGCTCCATGTCTTATATTCGCTGTTAGTATAAAACTGGAGTGATCTTGAAATAGGACAGAACACTCTTTGCTACATCTGAATCAAATGTTGGATATGGAGAACGATGAAGTTGAAAAGCACCTTGAGAACTTTATCAAGACTCATAAAAGAAATTAACAAATACCATGGTTAATTACTGAAATCAATGCACCAATCGGCCTCCTCTTAAACTTGGTCTTTCTCTTCACAGTCATTCGAGTGAAGTCAATGCGTACAATCATCAACATCTACTTATCCAATCTGGCCGTGGCTGACTTGCTCTTCCTTATGACTCAATGTATATTTGTATTGTGTTCATCCGAAGTGTACAAAGCATTCCAGAGTGTCAAATAAATCCTGGGACATACCGTTATTTCGTTTTACCGTTTTGGATTTCCTCAAAAACAAAAACAGTAAACGAACCATTGACCGTTTTGTCGTTTACAGTTTTATAAAACGACAAACAGTATTAACATAAATATGGTTTATCCGTTTTATAAGTTTAGGAAAAGTCATTATAGCACAACGATCCATTATTTTTGTTTTACAGTTTTACACAAATAACTTTGAAAAACAGCAAAACGGTCAGTATTGAATACACACTGTTTTTTTTTATTTTAGTGTCATAGTTAACAGTCCGTGGTGCATTTTGTGGCGGTGGGCAAGGGGGTGGAGGGGGACCCTGCTTTACACGAGTGTTGGCTCGGCATAATTAATGCGTGGTGTGATTCCTGGCGCGGACCCTGACCCCTTCTCATGTGATTCAGTTGGTGGGGCTTAAAGAGTTGCAAGCAAAAATGGCGCTGGAAAACTGCAAGGGAGGGCATTACTTTTCACAATGGATACAGGATGGTAAGACGTTAGATGAAGTTGCAGATATTTTGAAGGAAATTGGAGTTTAAGTCGACGCGGCTCTTCAATAGCTAATTCGCAAATTCTGTCGTGAGAACGAAAATGTAAGGAGGGCCCAGGCAATGACTCGATCCCAAGGACGCATTAACATTCCTTGGAGCATTGCTTAATTGCCAAACCTAAATCCAAAAAAATGGTCGGCAAGACTATTGACCGTTTTGTCATTGTCATGATTTTGTAAAACAACACTCTAAAAATAAAGCAACTAACCGTTTAACGCTTTCTACAATTAAAAACAACAACAAAAAGTATTTTTTGTGTGTCGACTTAATACCGTTTGACCGTTTTACAAAACTGTAAAACTGTAAACTGTTCGTTCACGGTTTTTGTTTTTGAGGAAATCCAAAACGGTAAAACAAAATAAGGGTATGTCCTGGGATTCAATTACATATTTGTTATTGTTTCTAGTTACATGTATTTTGTAGAGATCATAGCAGCTGAGGGATTCTCTGCAGTGCGTAATCCTCTGACATTCAAGGAAAAAGCCTCTAAATCTCGAGCAGCAAAGATATCAGCAGCACTCTTGGTGCCAACAATTATTGTTGGTGTGATTCCGATATTCTTGCCAGAGACTGTCTTTAAAAACATCATTTTTTGGATTAATTTCGTTACCAACACTACCTGTTTGGTAGCCACTCTTGCTTTGTACATCTTTGTAGTAGTTAAAGTGTGCAAGCAATCAGCACAGTTGCCAAATTGTCCCAAGCGAGCAGGCAAGGTCCTCTGTATGGTTATCATCAATACTGCCATTTTTTTTCATTCTGAACTCACTGAACGTTTCAGCTGCAATTATTTATACTCTGGGGACAACTTATACTTTGCCTTCAGACTTCAGACTTATCAATAATATCAATCTTTGATACAGAAAGCTGTCATTTTCTTGTGTCCTGGCTGCATTTTCTTTATGTCCTCGCATAAATTTATGAAATATTTTTGGTCGCCGTAAGGTCTCCTATGAGATCGCATATAATGTGACAGGCCCTTAACACACTGAGTAAACAGTGTATATACGTCGGAGAAGGGCGAAACTTAATTTGATTTTCATCTTGTGATTGGCGCATATTACCATGAAACACCTTACTGGTAACGAGAAACATTCACAGCATATTATCAGGAATAGAAACGTATTTTACTTTAAAGTAGGGAATTGTCAATACTTCCTGTGTCATTAGTAATGTGCAGGACCAGAACAGATTGCAACCAACTGTCAGTGTCACATTCCCTGGTTTGCCCCTCCCCAAGAAATATGACCCTCAGAAGTCTGGTACACCCGTCACACAAAATAAATTGTCACACAAAATAAATTGTCAATTTACTCGACAATTTATTTTGTGTGACGGTGTACCAGACTACTGAGGGTTATATTTCTTGGGGAGGAGCAAACCAGGGAATGTGACAAATGGGGGCTCGTCCGGGAAATGAAAAAAACAAATTGAGAAAAGCCGGTAGTCTCAGGTGTGTGGTTATACAGGATAGATGTTCAAGGTGGTTTATGGAAGCCCTTGCTAGGCAGCGTGCATTGAGAAGCCCAAATTGCGATGCCTATAGACAGATTGTCATGTCATGTTGGCGATTATGTAACGCGCACTAAGTCACATGGAATCAAGCTGTTGTTGCGTAAGTTAGGTATTTCTAGAATCTCCCCTCACAAACGCACTTGCGCTAGGATTAGTTTGATAGTGCTTGTATTGTTCTTGTTCATAGGGCTATCTAGCTCAATATGCAAGTGTGAAAGTAACAGAACGAACCGACGAAGAAACAGGGCAAGAAATACAAGAAGTTGCTGGGTGCATAACCAAAAAGTCATCACTATCAGGCCTCGATCTTTACAGCGGCCACTACGGCCAATGACCGCATGCCCTTCCAACTTGGCCGCAATGCCCCTTCAGAAAATACACATGTCGCGGCCAACTCGGCCACATGCCATTTTGTCATGTTTGTATTTTACCTCTGCATGTCCCGTCATGACAATCATACATCACAGATATTGTGTAGAGGATCTGTGCATACAAACACCATTCAACAAACGTCTAGTCGCGGCGAAAATAATACACGTCTTTTTATGGTTATCGTTGTTGTGTTTGTATGTACGTACACAGGCGGGTCATCTGATACACCATACCCCAGCGCGCAGCCCTTCCCGATCTCCCGGCTATGGCCCAACATACGGCGCGGTGCCACTGTACGATGTACATTATGCATATATGCCAATGCAACAACCGCTAACCGGAGCGTAATTATCATACTACACTAATATATTCAACTACCAGGAAAACCTTGGCGTTGATTGGTCAATATTGCAACGTTAATATCATGTGAATTTTCACGTGACTGACATATTGTGCGGGCAAGTTGTCAAGTTGATGAGTGCAGTGAAATCTGTTCAATGACGTGTTT